GTTTTTATATTTCTTTTCTGCCTTTTTAGTCCTTTGTTTAATGAATTCTCTATATAGTGTATTTTTCTTTTTATAGGCATTTATTGACAGGCAATATTGACGCAAAAGCAATTAGGGATGGTGGATGTTGGGTGAACCAAGAACTACATCAGACTGCTTTTCACATACCATTTCTTGCCAAAAGTCAACGTTGATATCTTTTATCTATGACTATAAACTGTTTCTAACCTTAACTTAAACTGCCATATAAACCCTAACTGTGATATTGAACCGTTTTGGGAGCTGGTGGTGACAAATAAAAATGGTTTAAAAGTTGAAGGACAGTTATGAAATTGCATTATACAGACTAAAATAATATAGATAACATAAAGAAGATTCTGAGCAGCTTATCGTCTGAACTCTGTGCAATGATTCCCTGTGTGAAAGGCGACGTAGCTCAAAAATTCCTGATTGTTCAGGTGAAGTAGAAGGATGTTTGATGACAGAGAGGCTGTGTTTTCAAATCCTGTCTGCAGTTTTAAATATAAACTCCAGCCAAGAGACAAGAAACTGTTCTTGTTGAACTGTGGAAGCATCGTTTTCAACTTCTACGCTACGAATTTCTGTCTTTAATTTTCCTGAAGGATGAATAAGAAATCTGTTTCCCAGAAAGATTTGGTGACTTCATCTGCAGCTCATTGGAAACTTGGATTTGTTTGGCAGTGTATGTGACGGTGTGTGCCCACAATGACCAAAGAGAGGAAAAATGAAGATGGTAGAGAAAAGCTGAGAAAGAAAAGCTGAGCTGAACTTAGGCGAAGAGCTGCCAGACCCTCGCTGTGGCAGGCAGACAGCCAGCGTCCAACATGGGGGGTCTTAGTGTCTGAATCTATAGAGATTTGACCCATGCTGCTCCCTGCTGTGTGTGTGTCTGTCTGTGTGTGTGTGTGTGTGAGTGTGTGTGTGTGAATGGTGTAAAGGACAATCAGGCCACCGTGGAGATGTGAAGTGGGAGAGGTGATTATGATGTGGGTATTGGAGTCCCGGATGTAAAAAGCCCATAAAAATGGGCAATAACAGGCAATCCACCTGATTACCTGATTACTTTGTTCCATGTTTGCTCTTATGTGACCTTTATATTGTCTACATCCAATACACTGGAATCTTCTCTGAGGTAGGCAGTCTCAACTACAGCAACTACACACATGGGTGACAAATTTAATGGACATACAGGGCAGAAGGGCTAACTGAATGGTTGGATTATGCAGATGATGTAAATCATATGCTGAGGCCGTTGCAGTCCCCAGCTCTCACTCCAATTGAACACCTACTGAGGGAATATTTGTCACAGATTTGGAGGATCTATGTCAAGGAGCACAGAACCTGTACTGGAGGCTCACCAGAGTTCGAACTACACTCCTCCTCCTCCTCCTCTTAAAGGTCCAGTGTGCAACATTTAGGAGGGTCTTTACGAATCACTCAAATTTATGGAATATACAAAAAAAAATAAACACGGAACATTTTTAATGCCTTTAAAGTAGCTAAGGGGTGTCTTCTAATAGTTTATTTTCTTTTTTTGTCTTGCATTCTTTTGCTAATGTAAAATTAAGTTAAGTAAAAAGCCTACTTCTGATCATGTATTACTTGCCATATTGTTGTACAAATTATAATAAAGAAAAAAACTATTTAGGAGGATCTACTGACAGAAATGGAAAATAATATTATAGTATGTCTTCATTAGTGTATAATCACCTCAATATAGGAATGATTGGGTTTTTGTTACCTTAGAATGAGACAATTGTATC